TATATATATATATATATATATATATATATATATATATATATATATATATATATATATATGAAAAAATCCAAACAGTTCAGTTTTTACAACCGAGTAGACGATGCATCCCCTTCTCTTATTCTCCGCGACTGAACCGCAAACCACAAACCTCAAACAGCGACATCGCATATCCTCCACTACTGGACTCCTCCTCTTGTGCTTCATTGTTCTTCAAATCTTTCAACTTCAATTTCAAATTCAAATTCAAATGTACTTCAAATCTATTCCGCCACTTTTTTAAAATTAATTTTTCCACTAAAAGCAAGACACACCTCAGATATGTGTGCATATTCGGTGTATGTTGGCCTCTATATATATATATATATATGTGTGTGTGTATGTGTGTGTATTTGCATGTGATTTTTACATGTGTGTTTGAATGTCAGTTACTACTTTATTACCCTGGCATTATTGTTAGCGCCCAGTTGTTCTTAAACTAATTTTAATCATCCAATCACACATTTTTGATATTTAAATTCAAACCCAGTGGTATGATTTTGTGACACTTTCAGCAATTTTATGCTTATTTTCCCTTTCTGCCAGGTTACTTTTCGAAAAATGCTACTACCTGTTAAATCAGGAGCAGATTTCAGTTTTTAGCTAATAAAATCGAGGCTGGCAATGGTCTTCTTCTCTTATGGAAGTTCTCTTCTCCTTAACAAATACTCTGATTGATAACTTGCTGTCATTCGTAACTTGGCACGAACAAGCCCTCTAGTTCATTCATAGCATCAGGATTATCAATTGAGCAGACTCATCTTCCGAAATCTACAAATATTTCCTTCAATGTGAATGTAGCGAAAACGTAAGTTTTCTTATGATAGTATACCAATTATACACTGCCAATCATATTTGCAGGAATTTCGGATTGCCTATTATGTTGCCATTCGTTATTACCAAATATTTGATTGTTTTGACAATGATGTAAGTTAAATTATTTGCTCCTATTATGTCATTCATCCAGCATACATACTTGCTAATGTTTTTTTTCACTTTCAATATAACATTATCAATCGCAGAAACGATGCACAAGCAACTGTACAAACCCTTTTGTCCTTCGTTAATAATGCAGTAAGCAGCGGGGAAAGTTTCATACCTCACTTTCTTAGTAATAGTTTATTTCATATTTAGACCGCTGAACAACAATGCTAACGCAATACAGAGATTCATTATTGAATTAAATGGTCAAAGAGAAAATCAATCTACACAAGCTCCACAGACTACTAACATATTGTTACAGCTTTTTGAGCTTCACCTTAGGGGTTTTCCTCAAAGGCTATTGCCTAGTGTAGGCTCATCACCTCATTATTATTATCATCCTTCTTACAGTAGGTACAGAACATATGATGGTTACTGGCTCTGTTCCTATTACTATTGTTGTTATAGATAATTGTTTTACTTCCTCCGATTATGTTTGTGTCATTGTGCAGACTTTAAATTTCCAAAAATTATACAAAATTTTGTTTGGCTTTGTTTATTGTGGCAAGCTATTGAATAGATTGTGAATTGAATCAATGTTAAAAATATACCAGAAATCTATGCGTCACGAATTATCCTCATCAAAGTTATCCGCTACTCTGTCATAGTTTGTAATAATTATGTTAATCAACTTATGGATTGAGACCAGGTATCTTAATAAATGAGTATAGTAGTTAATGGCTAATTTTGGTGCCAATTACTCGTTGAATGATTGAAATATTATATTAATCAAGTAATTAAAAAGCAGTGGTTCTCTTGAAGCATAATATTTCTTAAAATACGAAGGATGTCTAACCATGAGTTTCTCTTCTAGTTCATCCGTAATTATATAGCAAGCACTTTTGATTTCGCCGTTAAAACTTTTAATGTTAGGCCAATAGCGCTCTGCCATTTCAAAACTCTGATTATCATCAAAAGTTATAATTAAAAGAGGAAGTGCATATGACGCAAAAAAGAACAAGCTTATCATAATTATAACTTTTTCGCACTTTTCTTTTGAAAAAGACTAGTTCTTAATGAACCGTTCTCTTCCATTTCTTCATTTGCATCAAATGTACGCCATCATTAAGGAGAGCGAAGATGTAAAATGTGCTGAATAATTGGACATTTCCTGCAATTTGCGCTTCATCACAGCGATTATTTGGGTAGCACATATTGTGCAACTGTTTGTGTGCGTTCATCCGCCAACTTAAATATCTCTCTGAAAAGCGAAAACCAGATTTCAAGATTCTGAGAATCTATTTAATTCATCACAAATACGAGTTGCATGTTACGTTAAATAAAAGAACCAGAACAGTAACTTTTGAATAATTCCTAACTATTTCCTAACTAAAACACTCAAATTCCTGAAATCTAGTTGCCCTCACTGAAGCAAACCGATTTTGCATTTGTTTTAACTAATTTAGCTACAAATTAGTAATTTTTATCTGTTAACGCAGGAATCAAATGGCCAAGGATACCGACGTATCGGTGTACGTTCAGTTGTTAATGAGATAATTTTGCAAACATGATTGGTAGTGGAAGTAGTAAACATCACAGCACTTTGATCAGACAAATTAGCAAAGAACTGCGAATGGTTCAAACTGTTTCTCTAAAATGCCCAGTCCGGGTTGTTAAATGACCAATTACACTTTGGTCATTTCTACCAGAGCATTAATCAACTTTTCTAGTCTGTAACAATGGGCTGTTTCGGTTTTTTGAATTTCAGAGTAAATAAAAATCTTCAAAGACGCAATTACTCACTTATTCGAAAAATGAGAGTTCTGTTGTGTTTTAAGGTCAAATTCGAACAGCATTATTTGTCTAGGAGTCGAAATAGCAAGGAATAAAAATTGAGAACTTACACACAAATTAAGTCATGCTTCTGAAGCTGAACC